ACATTACATAAAATAACAAAGTTACATAGCATTTTAGAACTTGGAAGTATAGTGAAGAAAAGTTAAAAGGGAGAAGAGTGAAGGGTAGATGATTGCATTTTAAAGAGGGTACATGGGGGGCACCTGTGTGGCTTAGTCGGTTGATATCCAACTGTTGGTTTCGGCTCAGGTCGTGATCTCAGGGTCCTGAGTTTGAGCTCAGCACAGAGTCTGCTTGTCTCTCTCCCTTCCCCTCACACTTCCCCGTTTTTGCTCTCTCGTTCTCTCTCACAAATAAATAAATAAACAAATAGGGTGCATATGGTAGGCTTTACTAAGAAGGTGAAATTTGAGCTCAAGTTTATGTAACTAATTGGCACGCTAGAGTTTCTTGAGGATGATTAAAATGATTAAGAAGTGGATTACTTTAAGTAAGGTGTTGGGGAAAAAATAGTTTCTTCAAAATATGGTGCAGAGGTAAGTGGATATCCACCAGCCAAAAAATGAAGCTGGACTCCCATACCACTACATATACAAAAAATAACTCAGAACGGATCAGTGACCCAAATATAAGAGCTTAAACAATAAAACTCTTAGAACAAAATAGAGTCATAAATCTTCATGACCTCAGGTTTGGTAATGGATTCTTAGGTTTGACAACAAAAGCAACGAAGAATAAGAAAAAAAGAAAGAAAGAAAGAAAAGAGACTGCACTTTATTGAATTAAAAACTTGTGAGCATTAAAGGACATTATCAAGAATGTGAAAAGACAATCTAAAGAATGGGAGAAAATATCTGCAAATCATTTATCTGTTGGGGATTTAATATCCTAAATATATAAAGAACTCTTAAAACTCAACAACAAAAAGACAACCCAACTGAAAAATGAGCAAAGGACTAGAATACACATTTCTCCAAAGGAGATATACAGATGGCCAATAAGCACACGAAAAGACGTTCATCATTGTTCATTAATGAAATTCAAATCAAAACCACAAAGAAACAGCTCTTCCCACCTACTAGGATGGCTTTAAACAAAATAATGGAAAATAACAAGTATTAGCAAAGATTAGATATATAGGAACGATTATATACTCTGGGTAAGAATGTTAAATGGTACAGCCAATATGAAAAATAGTTCCTCAAAAAGTTAAGTACATAATTACCATATGACCCAGCAGTTTCAGTCTTAGGTATATATCCAAAAGAAATGAAAACATATGTCCATGCAGAAACCTATACACAAATGTTGTAATATAGCAATACTCATAACAGCAGAAAGGTAGAAATGACACGAATGTCCACAAACAGATGAATGGATAAACAAATTATGGTGTATACATCCAATGGAATATTATTCAGCCATTAAAAGGAACTAAGTATTGATACATGCTACAACTTGGATGAATTTCAAAAATATTATGCAAAGTGTCACAAAGGTCACATATTGTATAATTCTTTTTTTTATGATATATCCAGAATAGGCCAATCCACCGAGACAGAAAGCAGATTAGATGTCACCTAGGGATGGGGAGGGGAGAGTTGGGAGTGATTGGTATGGGGTGTTTTAATGAAGTGATGAAAAGGTTTTGAAATTAGAGAGAGCTGGTACTTACACATTATGAATACATTAAGTACCACTAAACTGTACACTTTAAAATGGTTAATTGTAGGGGCACCTGGGTGGCTCAGTCGTTAAGCGTCTGCCTTCGGCTCAGGTCATGATCCCAGGGTCCTGGGATCGAGCCCTGCATCGGGCTCCCTGCTCCACGGGAAGCCTGCTTCGCCCCCTCCCACTCCCCCTGCTTATGTTCCCTCTCTCGCTGTGTCTCTCTGTGTCAAATAAATAAATAAAATCTTTAAAAACAATGGTTAATTGTATATGAATTTTTCCTTAAAAAAAAGGTTTAGTAATTCAAAAAATTTTTTCATCAAATTTTCAGGATCACGTTTGTATTTTATAATCAAATGTCAGTTCTGTATTTATTCTAGCCTTTAATCTCTTTGTAACATTTTAATCTTTTTTAAAAAATAGAGCTTTATTGAGATATAGCCCACATATAATAGAATTCACCCCATTTTGTGTGTATATTTTGGTGAATTTTGGTAAACATGTCATTTAACAACCACCACCACAATTAAATTTTAAAAGCATTCAACATCCCAAAAAGTTCCCTTAAGTCTGTTTATACCCACTCCCCATTCCCACATATTTTCTGACATAATTCTGCCTTCTCTAGGCATTTCTGGGCAATTCTAGAAAAGGCAGAATTACAATAACAGACATTTTGTATGAATGAATTTTGTATGAATGGAATCATACATTATGTAATTTTGTATGTCTTTTTTTTTAAGATTTTATTTTTAAGTAATCTCTACAGCCAATGTGGGGTCGAAATTACAACTCTGAGAGCAAGAGTCACATGCTCTACCTACTGAGCCAAACAGGCACGCCCATCTGGCTTCTTTTACTTAGTAAGATGTGTTTGAAGTTCATGTATGTTTTTTTACGTATAAGTAAATTATTTGTTCCTTTACATTTCTGAATAATTTACCATATTAAGTGTATCCATTTATATTTTGAGGTTACTGGATTGTTTCCATTTTTCAGCTATTATGAATACTTACAAGACTCTTGTATGTTGTATGGACAGAAGTTTCTATCTCTCTTTGGTAGATATTGAGTAGAATTGTTTATTTTTATATTTTAACTTCTTAAGAAACTGCCAAATTTTTCCAAAGTGGCTGAGCTATTTTTCAACCCTCATCCGTATAAGGGGTCCAGCTGCTCTACATTCTGGCCAACACTTAGTATTGTGAATCTTTTTAATTACAGTCATTCTGATGGGTATGCAGAGATTTCTTTTTGTGGCTTTAATTAGCATTTCCCTAATGACTAATGATGCTGAGCATCTTTCTATATGTTTATTAACCTTTGCCTATCTTCTTCTGTGAGGTGTCTGAATTTTTTGCCCATTTTTAATGAGTATTTGTCTTATTACTGAGTTTTAAGAGCTCTTTAAATGTTCCAGATACAACTCCTTTGTAGATGTTCTGCAAATACTTTCTCCCAATTTGTGACTTGCCTTTTGAGTGATTTAACATTATCCTATTTTTTTTTTAAAGATTTTATTTACTTATTTGACAGAGAGAGAGCACAAGCAGGGGGAGTGGCAGGCAGAGGGAGAAGCAGGTTCCCCACTGAGTAAGGAGCCCAATGCAGGGCTTGATCCCAAGACCCAGGAATCAGGACCTGAGCCAAAGGCAGACACTTAACCGACTGAGCTACCCAGGTGCCCCTAACGTTATCTTTTGATGAGCAATCAAACACTTTTTAAGTGGAGCCCATGGGCAGCTTGAACTCATGACCCTGAGATCAAATCTGAGCTGAGATCAAGAGTCGGAGGTTTAACCAAGTGAGCCACCCAGGCGCCCCTGATGAGCAAAATTTTTAATTCTAATGATGTCCAATCTGTCATCTTTTTCTTTTATAGTCTGTACTTTATGTGTCCTAAGAAATCTTTGCTTAACCCAAGTCCATAAAGATTTTTCTCCTGTTTCCTTTGAGAATTAATTTCTGAGTGTACAGTATGACATAAGGGTTAAATGTCACATTTTTTCCTTATAGATACTCCATTATTTCAATACCTTTATTTAAAAGACTATCCCTTCCCCACTGAATTGCCTTGGTAACTTTGCCAAAAATCAACAGAGCATGTAAATGTGAGCTTACTTTTGGATTCTTAATTCTATTCTGTTTTCTATTTACTATTCCCCCCCGCCCCCACCACCGAGTTTTGGTCACACTCTCCTGTTTCTTTACATGTTCAATAATCTGATTAAAAACTAAGCCTTGTGTATCATACATCATAGTGCCTCTGTATTCCATTTTGTTCTTCTGAAATTTGCTGGGTTTACTGTTTTAATATATAATGAACTTGCCTAGACTCAAAATGAAGAATCTGTTTCTCTGTAGAGAGCTGAAATTTTTTCTCAGGTTTCTTTCTGCCCCCTTTTGCCGGAATCTCTCTTGCGCCTGCACAGCTTTCTGACCAGCCAATGATTTCAACAGAAGTTATACAACGACAACTCAAGCCAATGAAGCCTCCCCTCTCTGCTGCCCAACCTGTGTATGGGTGAAAAAATTCATTCAGATTTGTAGGAAATAAATAAGTCTCCCCAGGCTTTCAATTTTGCTTGTGCTCCCTGGGGAGCCCCATGTTGTTTAGCAGCCAGCCATGAATGCATGCAGAGCATATTATCTCAGCCCTTCCACAGCTCTCTTGTTTCCAGAAGTTCCCCCTTAAGTTTCTTGCTGCTCTGCTACTCTCCCAAACCAAATCAGCCACTAATTAGTAAACCTGTGGGTCTTTTCACACCAGCTGGGCTGGGCAGGGGAGGGGGTGTATCTGGGGGTGGGGAGATGGGAATCCCCTCAAGCAAGAAGCATCTTCCCCAATGCAGTAGCAGTTTCTCCTAAGTAAACATTTTCAAGTTCTTTGCTGTCTTTGGTCATTCTTGAAACTGCTGCATCTAATAATTTTTTTCCAGTTTTATACCATTCTTTTTTTTTTTTCCCAAGGGAGAATCACCCAACCCACCCAGTCAGGCAGGCGGTCCTTAGTGGAAGCAGCATCTTGACCGTATTTTAAGCACTTATGAATATATTATCATGATCTCATTTATCATTATATGAAACCAAACAAGTTACTGCAAAAGTTAGTCAACTATAGCAGGAAAAAAAATTCTTATTTGCAAACATTAAATTTCAGATGCAATGTCTACAGGATTCGTAGCACAGTAAAAGATACCATATAATTAAGGTGGCTGTGATCTGCTAACTCCACGAAGGTCTTTAAAATATGTATGACTTACCTGGAAAAATGTAAATTTTTTTAGTTTTTTAGACAAAAGAGTAGATTCAATTTACACCTAGACCACCTGGGGGCGCGGGGTGGGGAAGGCATCACCAAGTATAGAGCATCAAATGCAGAGAGTTTGGTTGGATTTTAGAAAATTACCTTGAAGGCTGCTAAACAATGAAGGCTCAATAAGGTCATGACAATTGCCAGAAGGATGGTGGCTAAGTTCCGCACGTCCCATATGGTCTCTACCAGAGGAATACTGCCGACCTGCCAGTCATAGCATAGAGTAACGGGTGCAAGCAGAAGCCACACGTTGAAGGCCAAGAGGTAGGAATAGGTAAGGAACCTACGAAGAGAAGAAGAATCACTGAAACACAACTCAAGGTCCATGATACTTTGCAAACATTCGTTTACCATGGTTTAATAAAATAGCATTGTATACTGTTGGTGTTACCGGAAAAGACAAGGTAAGATGGAAAGCCACTCATTCATTTTATCATAAAATAGGTCATTCTGGAATATATTTAACAGTTCCAGGCACTGTGGCAGGTGATGACCTTTCAACAGTGAACAAAGAAAGACAGAGTTTCCATGACATATATTTAAAAATTATCATGTAAATAAATACATTACATCCTGAGATAAATGCCAAGAAGGAAAAGTCTGATGAAGATATATGACAGAAATGCTGTTCTGCTAGGTATGATTCCCTGGGTAAGAGACAGACCTTTAAACTCTCCTTTTTTTCATAGTGCCCAGAAAACTGCTGTAGATAGTAAAATATTTAAGCATGTTTATAACAAATTGGTCATACTGAATTATTTCAAAAAAAATCAGAGCATCTGTGGTAGGGAAATGAAGTCTCTTAGTCCCAAGTAAAGGGGCTAGCCTTCAAGAGAAGGGAAGGACACCTATCATCCTGCTAAGGAGAACAGACAGACCTAGGGAAGGGAGATAATGAACACAGGGGATGCTCCTGTTTTCTGGCTGTGTCTAGCCACTAAGGGAAGGTGAAAGGCATTCCAGCTGAGCCCGCTCTTTTCAGGGTAGAGGAAACTGAAGTTATTTAAATACTTCGGGCCAACACAAATCCATTAAGTAGTGGTTAGACCCTTGAGAATTGCATAACTATCAGCACATAACCAACTTCACCCTAACCCGTGCTCTAGGAGACTCCAAGCTCTAGCATGGCTTCTAGCAGCATGAGGCACATCCCTAGGATGACCCTGGCCCCCATTAGAACCCTTGCCTGAGAAAGCACAATGCTGCCAAGGAGAACTGACTGTTGGTTCTAGCCAGCACCAGACAAAGGGCCTCTGACCTCCCTGTCTTAGAGCATTTCTATAAAGGGCTGACAATTGTGAATATGTCTGTCCCACGACTCAGAAGTCTTTCTCAAGGACCTGAGAGCCATTCCTTTAAAATGTCCTCATCAGGAAGGACAGGGCCTGTCTCCCAGTGTCTGTAAGAGGATAACTGCCAGCCAGCAGACACAGCCAGCCTAAATGCACTTGGACGACGGGTCCTTTGAAATTTTTCACTTCTCGGCCTCTTCTGAGCCCTGGCTTGCCGGGCTGCTCTCACTGTCCCTTTAAAATGCCCAAATCAGACTAGCGCTCAGCTCCCCCCCCCCCGCCCCCGCTTAACAGCAGTACTGAATGAAATTTATTTTCACGGTTTCAACGGATGTCCAGCCATGTTTGTTTGACACCCTATATGGGATTAAATAGAATAATTAGATAAATTCCTTCCCCTCAAAAAAGTGCATAACCCAATAGTGAAAACAAGATATACACAATCAAAGAAGCGGAATGAGATGAGCACCATGACAGTGCAGAACATGAAGGGAAGTCTTCTGACAGTCAGATTCTTTTGGAGGGATTCTTGGATTGGCAAAGGGGTTAAATCAAATCATTTCTAGTTAGCTTCCAATATGAAGAGTTCTTTCACCTTGACTTCCTCTCCACAAGTAGCTACTGGTTAGGAACACCCTTCCCAGACCTTCCCAACTGATCTCCTTCCCTTCCCTCCTTTCCCTTCAAGGTTGGCAGTTACAAATCATCAATGATGGCCAGGTGAGGCTTAGGGGTGGGGATTACTCACTGTCCCGAATCTCAAACCCCAAAAGAGAAATAGGTTGAAGGAGTGGGGATACTTTTTTTTTTTTTAAGATTTATTTATTATTTATTTGAGGGAGAGAGAACAAGCAAGAGGGGTTGGGGGAGAGGAAGAGAGAACCTCAAGCAGACTCCGAGCTGAGCATGGAGCCTAAGGCGGGGTTTGATGTCATGCCCCTGAGATCACGACCTGAGCCAAAACCAAGAGTCAGATGCTTAACAGACTATGCCACCCAGGCGCTCCAGGAGTGGGGATACTTCAGTGGTGTTTTCCAACTCTTTTCCTCTCTGCTGGTATTTTTAATAAAATGTTAATATACAAATCTTGTGGTACACACTGAAAGCTTAATGAAGTCCAACCTTTATTTTTTAACAAAAATCAAAACAAAAACACTGCCTCATCCCTTTTAGCCTGGGGGCTGAGAAATTGTCTCATGAGAGAATGCCAACTCCACAGGAAGATGACTGGGTCACATTGGACTTTGTTTTTTCACAGAGCTTCTAAGCTGACACAATCTGCTTGTTAGCTCAAGGAAGATTCTCTGTGACTTGGCTTTAAAGAAGGTGGAACCATCAAACAGGAAAATCACAACATTTTGTCACTCAGTTAATCTCCAGGTCTTAAAAATTACTTTTAAAAAATGGTATCTTTCCTTCTTGATATACTAGCTAACAGCAATGATTATAAATGGCTGCTAAAATTATTAGGTGAAACCTAATAAGGTACTTCATAATGGATGGATCAGGCTACATCAGGTGCCTAGAACTGACTAACCAATTTTAACATCACAGAAAGGGAGACTAATAGCCAAATGTCCTCCTGATGGAGATATAGGTCACCACCTATGAAGTAGTCTTGTTCCCCCCCAAAAAAAGAAAAGAAAGAAAATCAAACTTGAATCTGATCAAGCCTTTATCACCAGTTCACATCAAATACAGAAAAAGCCAAAACATGCTACAGGACACCACAGGAACGCAATGTGACAAATCCAGAATGTTGCCAGAACACAGAACAAATGATGTCCAGTTGTTCCACAAAGACATTGTTAAGAGGAGTGAAAGGGGCAGAGGGGCAAAGGGGAGAAAAGAAGAGGGCATCTGTCACTCAGATGAGACCTAAGAGGCGTATCAAAGTGCAGATATTGTTTAGGTACTAATTCAAACAATCCATTATGAAAAATAACCACTTATAAGCAAGAAAAAACTCAAGAATCCTTGTTAATTTTTAAAGTGCAATAAATGGTATTGTGGTTATTTTTTTTTAGGATCCTTAGCTTTCAGAAATACATACTAAAAAACATATGCATATGAAATACAAATCTGAGATTTACTTCAAAATGATGGACTGAGGGTAAGGGCACAGAAGTGGGTGGGGGGGTAGAGCAAGATGGCGGAAAAGTAGGAGACCTGGATTTCGTCTGGTCTCAGGAATTCAGCTGAATAGGGATCAAACCATTCTGAACATCTAGGAACTCAACAGGAGATCGAAGATAAGAAGAGTAACAACTCTCTGTACAGAAAAGCGACCGCTTTCTGGAAGGTAGGACTTGCGGAGAAGTGAATCCCAGGCGATATTCGGGAGGATAGACGGCGGGGGAGGGGTCCTCCATCGGCCGCTTCTGGCAAATGATAGAGCCGCGGAGCACAAAATCGGAACTTTGAGAAGCCGGATCCGCTGAGGGACGTCGCTCCAGTGGCTAAGCGGGGGGTGGAACCCTCGCGGGACAGTGTGGTCTCAGGACCCTCAGGGTCACAGAAAGACTAGGGGTGCCTGAGTGCGGCAGAGCTCCTAGGTATCGGAGCGGGGAAGCCGGCTGCAGAGACGGAGCCGAGGCGCGGGCTCTCAGCTCGGGGTTGCCATAAACTGTGATCTGCGGCCCAGTCGGGCCACTGCTCCTCCAGCAGGGACCCAACAAGTGGCAGAGTCGGGGAGACTCCCCTTCCTCCCCGGGGAGGAGCGGCGCAGGAACGCACCGCAGGGATCTGCTGGGTTTGGAGACTCCACACGGGGTCGTGTGCCAGAGATAGAAATGCTCAGTCACAGGCCGGGTGAGCACGGAGTGAGGCCGGAGACCGGGGAAATGGGAGTGACTGCTCTCTGGGGGCACACTGAGGAGCGGGGCCCTGAGTTCTCAGCTCCTCCGGGCGGAGATTGGGAGGCCAACATTTTCACCCTGGTCCTCCAAAGCTGTACCGAGAGCTTGCAGGGAACAAAAGCTCCTGAGAGCAAACCGGAGAAGCTTGCTTAGCCCGGACTCACAAGGGCTGGGCAATTCCGCCTCCGGCAAAGACATTTGGGAATCAGGGCAACAGGCCCCTCCCCCAGAAGATCAGCAAGAACAGCCAGCAAGCCAAGACCAAGTTTACCGATCAAGGAGAACGGGAGAACTCCATCGCTAGGAGAATACTGGACATAGAATTCATGGCTTTTTTACCATAATTCATTAGTTTTTCAAAGTTAATTTTTTAACTGTTTTTTTTTTAATTTTTCTTTTTCCCTTTTTCAAACATCTTATCAATCCCTTTTTAAAAAAAAACTTTTTATTTTTCATTTTTAGAGTCATATTTTTATCCCTTCATAGTAGTTACCCTTATTTTTGGCATATATATATAAGTTGTTCTCTCTTTAAAATTTTGATACAATTTCTTCTAACAGATCAAAATATACCCTAAATCACTAGTGTATGGCTTTGTTCTATTCTCCTGCCTGATCACATTCTCTCCCTTTTTTTTTCTTTTTTTTCTTTTTTCTTTTTCTTTTTAAATCTTCTTTCTTTTTAAAAAAACAACTTATCAATTCCTTTTATAAAATCTTTTATAATTTTCATCTTTACACTCATCTGCCATCCCTTCATTGTATCAACCCTTATTTTGTACATATATAAGTCTTTCTTCCTTTAAAATTTTAGCAGGCACTTTCTTCTAACAGACCAAAATATGCCCAAAAGCTAGTGTGTGGCACTGATCTATGCACTAGCCTCATTATATTTAATCATATTCTGTTTTTTTTTTGTTTTGTTCTGTTTTTGTTTGTTTTTGTCTTTTTCTGTTTCCTTTTTTTTTCTCTATTCTTTCTTTCCCTTTCTTGTCCCCTGGTTTCAGGTCTTTTCTGATTTGTATACAGTATATTTGCTGGAGACAATGTTAACCTGTTAGCGTTCTGTTCTCTCATTCATCTGTTCTCCTCTGGACAAAATGACAAGACGAAAAAAATCACCTCAGCAAAAAG